CCGGTGGGAGGAGCTAGTCGGGCCGTGGGCGGGGCTGGGAGGAGCCCGGGCGGCGGGAGCGGCGGCGGCGGCGAGCGTCCTGGGCGAGGAGGGAGACCGGGGGACTGTCTCCGGCCGGCCGTGGCAAAGGCCACTGTGGCACCGACTCGGGGCCAGGCTGGAGTCTCTGGAAGAAAGAGCGGACCTGGTGACACGGCGGGTGCGGCGGCGGCGGCGGGGGCTCGGAGGCGATGCGGAGAGCGTGTCTTCCAACCCCACCGGTGCGTATTGCTGCATAATCACCGCTTAAAGGCACATTTTGACAGCCCCCTTTATCTGCTTGATGTTTTTTTCATGTCTGCACAGCAAATCACCCCACACCTCCAACCAATCCCCCCCCCCTCTTATGTATTCAGCGGGTCTTGCCTTTCATATTAATTTTTATGACCTGGGATGTTGCCTGTGCGCGTGTTGTGTTGTGTTGTGTCTGCGGGCTCACTTTCCTCCTCCTCCTCTTCCTCCTCCTCCTCCTCTCGGCATTCGCGGCTTGGCTCGGTGGCTTCCCTCCTCGCCTGCTCGCCTATAGTTTCCCCCGGATTCGTCTTACGACCCTTCTTCGTATTATTATTTTAACGTTCTGGGGATGTGGTAGGCGCGGCGGCGGTGTGGAGCGCCCGGCCGGAGCTTCCGGGGAGAGCGCGCACAATTCCCTGCTGAGCGTAATGTGTGCCTTCTACTTGCAATTGCAGAGCAATATATTCGGCGGGCTGGATGAGAGTCTGCTGGCCCGCGCCGAGGCTCTGGCGGCCGTGGACATCGTCTCCCAGAGCAAGAGCCACCACCACCATCCGCCCCACCACAGCCCCTTCAAGCCGGACGCCACCTACCACACGATGAACACCATCCCGTGCACGTCGGCCGCCTCCTCGTCGTCGGTGCCCATCTCGCACCCGTCCGCGCTGGCGGGCACACACCACCACCACCATCACCACCACCACCACCACCAGCAACCGCACCAGGCCCTCGAGGGCGAGCTGCTGGAACACCTGAGCCCCGGGCTGGCCCTGGGAGCCATGGCGGGCCCCGACGGCGCGGTGGTGTCCACGCCGGCGCACGCGCCGCACATGGCCACCATGAACCCCATGCACCAAGCCGCGCTCAGCATGGCTCACGCGCATGGGCTGCCCTCGCACATGGGCTGCATGAGCGACGTGGACGCCGACCCGCGGGACCTGGAGGCGTTCGCCGAGCGCTTCAAGCAGCGGCGCATCAAGCTGGGGGTGACCCAGGCCGACGTGGGCTCGGCGCTGGCCAACCTCAAGATCCCCGGCGTGGGCTCGCTCAGCCAGAGCACCATCTGCAGGTTCGAGTCGCTGACGCTGTCTCACAACAACATGATCGCGCTCAAACCCATCCTGCAGGCGTGGCTCGAGGAGGCCGAGAAGTCCCACCGCGAGAAGCTCACCAAGCCGGAGCTCTTCAACGGCGCCGAGAAGAAGCGCAAGCGCACGTCTATCGCGGCCCCGGAGAAACGCTCGCTGGAAGCCTACTTCGCCATCCAGCCGCGGCCCTCCTCCGAGAAGATCGCCGCCATCGCCGAGAAGCTGGACCTTAAGAAAAACGTGGTGCGCGTCTGGTTCTGCAACCAGAGGCAGAAACAGAAAAGGATGAAATACTCCGCGGGCATTTAGGAGACCCCGCGCTCTCCAGGGACAGCCCCCTCCGCGTCCGCTCATTTGTCTCCCTCGCTCGCCCCGCCGCTTTTCGCTCCACTTTTGGCCACCAGAAACAATTCCGGTAAATGTGAATCCAGAGAAAGGCAGAGAACCAGTGAGCACCTGAGCCCCAGCCCGTTCAGAATGTGAAAAGGTTTCTAAGAGCAAAGAAAAAAAACCCAAAAGAAGAAAAAAACAAAAGAAGTTGTAGCAAAGTTGTCCCTTTCAAACCCCACTCGGAAAAGACCCCTGCGCTTCTCCTTCGTAGAAAGTCTGGAGCTGGCTGTAAGCATTGGAAGGCCACGGTAACACACAAGCCTTTTAAAGGGCCCCCAGAAAGGTCAAGTAAGATTTTTGTTTTTCTTAAAGACATCACCCTTGTTCGAGTTTAAAAGTACACTTTGCAGCTATTTTTCAGAAATAGAAATTGATTTCAGGACTGAAACTTTAAACTAGAGTCGATGCTAAATGTGATAAGAGACATCTCTAAAAGTATTTTGAATTAAAAAAAAAAGATGGCAGATTTTCTGCCTTTACACTGTATATGATATATATATATATTTTTACTGTGGTTCTTACCCCGTTCTTCCTTCTCTGAAGTGTTGATGCTTAAGAAAGAAATCGCGCCTGCTGTGTTCACTGATCTTGAAAGCTATGATTAGATTATTGTCGAACAACCCTCTGTAAATTATTCATTTATGTCTCTAGCAACTTAATTTTGTGCACATTCTAATTAATTAAACTTCTTTAATCTTGCAACAAGGGGAGGGGGAGATGTATGGTTAGTGAACTTCAAAAAAATTTATGTTGGACCAGTTTGCTGAATTTTTACAGCTTTCCTCACATACTGGGTTCCTTTTGACCCATTTGTATATTCTCACTTTGAAGGAAGATTATTCTTTTTCTTCGTTGTTTTGAAATGTTCTGATTTGAGAGTCCACACTCTGTAATGGATGTCTTAATGGTGCAGACCCTGATTCACTGTCTGAAGTATTGTTTACTTCATTATTTATTTAATGGGGATTCCCACATTGTCCTCAACACACGCCCTCTCTCACTGCTCCTTAGACACACACACACACACACACACCCCTCTATTGGGAGAAAAAAAGCAATTGGAAGCATAGCTATAATACTATAATTCATCACTTTCTAGCTTTAGATATATTTGCCATGTAGTGTTTCTCTTCTAGATTCTAAGATGTTTGCCAGACTAGTTCTATCTTCCAGTTTCCAATCGCTTTGTTTGTTACAGTTTAACATCCACAAGAATCTTTTGTTTGTTTTTTCTCTTTTGGAGGTTTGTTTGTAGACAAACTAACTTGAATGATAAGAAAGCCAGTGCACTGCTTGTAAATTCACATTGTTTGGTAGGATTCTTTTGGAACAAAAATGCTAGGTACATGATGACTGGTACCATCATATCTACTGTAAATATTTCATTCAAAATAATGCACATATAGATATATTCTTACAAACTTTGTTGTATTGCCATTCTGTTTGAAGCTCTCTGAAGTCTTGAGTTCTGTATATGACCTGGTTTCTTGTTTTTGTTAATAGATGGTTTATTTACTATGGTAATGTATTAAGTTATTTTGGTGCTGTTTGATTGTCTTTTACTGAAGAAATAATTTTAATGTTTTATTGGCAAAGTATGCTGCTTTTTTCATTAAAATGTGCTATTAAATGGCTTTGAAATTAAATGGCTTTGAAACAGTGATGCTGTTTATTTACATGGGACTTATTTTGGTGGGAGATTTTTCAAAAGCACATTTTGATGGTTGGTCAGGAAGTGGTGGTTATCAAAGTCTGGTGTGGACGTAGTAAAGGGTGCTTCCCTGGGAAAGTATAAACGAATAAACTTTGAAAAGCTGGAACTCATCTCCCAAGGTGCTTTGCTTTCGCCGGGAGAAGAGAGTGATAGTTGGCTCTCGAAGCCTGACTTGGAGTGTGATGCCCAGATCTGAAATTTTTATGTACAGAGAATGTACAGAGGTGTTGGATAGAAGTGGTTTTACCCATTCCCTCCCACGGGGAAAGTGCGCTGAGTATTCGGTTCACTTGTTAGTAGCATTGTAAAATTGAGTGTGCAAGACTCAAAGCCTAGGTTGTAGGAATAGGGGCCTATGGTCTGACCCATTATGGTTCTCAGGTCAGTCACCACTTCTAGAAAATAGTGCCTCAAGCTTGAGGGAGACTCATTTGAGTAAGGAAGAGCCCCTCTCTTTTCTCATCACTCCCCACACTTCTGATAACTTTTAGGGAAATTCAATTCTTAAGCATAGTGGGGCTGAGAAGGGGATTCTGAGTGGTTAACAAGAACACATTTTTGTCCCCTGGTGAGGCTCGGTCTAAGTGGTGGTTAGGGACAAAGACATTTTGTCATTTAACATACAGACTTTCCCTTTTCTGGCTAATTTAATAATTGTCAGGATCTCTACAACTGTGAGTAACAAATTATGGTTTCAAAGTTTTAAAAGGAGAGCTCTGGTTTAGATATTTACACAAATCCAGAGATCAAATCAGAGGAAGGATTTACTTCCTGCTCTAGGAATAATTCTGCTCAACTTGGGAGCTTTCTTACCTGGGGGGTGTGGTTAGGTTAGGAACTATTCCATGAGTCACCGAGCATTATTAGAATGGTTCACGCTGGGAGTGAGTGTTGCTAAAACTTAATCTTATTTCAGATTTCACTAAAAGAGTCCTAAAAGTTGAAAGAAGAAAAGGTGGAGATGCCCTTTTCCCTGCTGCACAGAAATAAGGAAAATCAAAGTCCATGTGCCCGCATAAATAATCATGAAATGCAAGATGCCTAAAGAAAGGTTGAAACTTGTAGACGTTTCCAAGAAATAACTGTGTATCCAAGCATACTGGTGTTGATGGTTTAGTTTTATTCTTACATTTGGGAGGTTGAAAGTTCTTTCTTGCCTTTTTTCTTTCTAAAGTCTTAAGCCTCCAATGTCACGTTGCAGGGTAGTGGTTTAAGGACCACGGACAGCAACCACAGCCCTCTGCACCGCCAACACACCTTTGTCCAAGCATTTTCAGCCAGCAAGAGAACTTTACACTTGCCAACTTATTACAGATTGTGTAGGGAAAGTGAATGAATCGAGTATAATGTGTAACGTATCATATTTGTTGATCTAGAATGAAAATTATCTTCAATAAATATTACCCCCCATTCACATAGTTCAGTGTTAGTCAAGGTATGTGTGTTAAGAGAAGGAGAGCTATATGGGAAGAATAAAGACAGTTTATTAGTGCCTTCTCATGACAAATATTGTATCTTTAAATGAAGAGAGACGTCCTGCCAAGTAGTAGAATGTTAGAATCATAGTGAGCAAAATTAAATGTGCTGATGATTTTTAGCATTTTGAGGTGCATGACAGCTTGCATGCTTGTCCAAAATTGCTCTGAGGAAAGTAACAGACCACTTTTACTTTGTCAGTTGAGGGCAAAAGTCTATATTTCCCCCCACTTCACCAATAACTAATGGTCTCTGTGTTGCTCAGACTTTTACAACCATAATCTTTTAAAGTTAATCTTCTCGGAAGTATGACAAGAGCAAAACAAACTTGTGGCCTACAAGATGGATTGTCCTCCCCTCCCCCAGCCCCTCATTCTTAGAGGCTGCTGAATAATGCTCACTCTGTGGAAAAAAGCAAATTCTTAAAAACAAATATGTTCTGAAAGTATTTATTGATAAGAGATGCAGAGACTTGCCAAAGAAATTTGGAGGGAGGAGGGTTCGTGTTAGAGAAAAAATTAAAAGTAAGAGAATAAGCTATGTTGTAAAATATCCGTTTAATGTTGACTTTCCAAGTATTACACTAGATAAATAGCAAAATATGGCTGAAAATATTGGTCATATTTATCAAATCCATTGGCATCCATGACGCCTTTCCTTTTCTTCTCCTCAAGGTCCACAGTGAACTTACTAATTGAGTTAGCAGCATAGCTAGGCACGCTAAATTTGATATGTCAGGATAATGTAGTTTAATTTCAACAAAAATTTCTCTATGAAAAGACTACCAAATCTTCCTATTCAGTGTGGTCATCTGAATCCGAACCGGGCTGTATTGAGGAGGCTAACAGCAAGAATTATTTAAGACCTTGGTGATATATAAGTACTCTTTACAATAAAACATTGTAACGTTACCTGGAAAGAATGCCATTTTCTTTGAATATCTGACATGAAATCAGTTGGTCAATTATTTGTCTGATTCAATTTAACTGACACAATTTAGAGAAAAATGATGGAAAAATGAAAAAGCCAATAAAGTCATTTTAGTGACATACAATATTATCCTATTCTTTTTCTAGAAATTGTGTCTTAAAAATAAATAATAACACATAGCTAAGTCTTTAAAATTTTTGCTTTATTGCTACCAAGGACGGATGCTAGGATCTAAGTATCTTTGCTTAGAGAATTGGTATTTTTCCAAAAACCTACATTTGGGGGAAAAATGCTCTATTTTACATGTAAAATAATGGGTTGTGCTCTTTGGGCGATGGTCTTGATTAGAGATGGTGGCCCAGGCACCAGAAAGAGCCACTGGATCTTCAAAGGCCTGTTAATCTGAGCAGGAGGCTGCCAAATTTCTAGGCAAGCCATGTGAGCAAGTTTAGAAATTCATCTTTGCAACTGTTGGTGCAAACCATCCTTCTCTAGGGGTTCAAACTACCCTCCTTGGAACTTCAAGCTGTACTTGCCTTCTGCAACGGAAGGGGGAATGAACTTAGATTGGTATCCTGATAGGACAAAAAGATAGACAAAGGTTCTTGGACAGTTATGATGATAGGTCTGTTCTCTAGTCCACATTTATCAAGAGAGAGATTTATGGCAATTGGAGAGAAATCACTAACACCCCCCCCCTTTACCCCTTTAAAGGAGCCATTCCTAGCACTGAAAGGCTATTATGAGCAAATTAATAAATTACACAGTGAATTATTAAATCTAGATAATTACAAGGAAT